GAGCTTTAAATCGCAAAGATCTGAGGGACACTGCCATTACTCCCGTTACCCTGAGACATAAGTTGACAAGTCCCATGTGGCTCTAATTTCACCAATGCGCAATATATGTAATGTAATTAGTAGCAGTAGAGCTCCTTGTGAAAGAGTTCGTCCCGGGAAGTATTGCCACTGCCGCCAAGCAGTAATGTGAGCATTAATGTGTTCCAATTTTGAAGAGTAAGGGTGCTGATGAAATTACAGGTACATGGGACTTGTCAACTTATGTCTCAAGGTGCCGGGCACAGTGGCAGTGCCACTTATATCTTTGCGGTTTAAAGTTCTCGAGTGCCACTGCGATTGTTAAGGACAGGCGTGAGCTTACTATCAGGTGCACGACGTGTACGTCCCGTCACTTCATGTGTTAAAAAAAATGTTATAGAAAAAAATCTTTAATGGCTCCATCGTTTTCGTTCAGTATCTCATTTGACAGCTGACAGGTGTCAACTGTCAAATGAGAAATATAGGAAAAATATTCTAAAATGTTATCCGAAAACCATGGTTTACTGTCTCAAATAATTACTTACAAAGAAAGTTTTATACCTAGATAAATAGACTGAGATTTGGACATTGTAGATTTAAAGCTCATTTACATCGTAAGCGCATAATAACTTCCCCAATTTGCACTGAATACACGACTTAAGAAGACCAAACATTAGGACACTTTTTCTTTTCATGTCCTGCTTTCGACATTCAGCGACTGCTTCTCGGCTCTTCAAAAAATCCCGCCTTCACTACAGGACAGTTTAGCTTGGCCAGAAAATTTTATCCCTATAAACATATATGATTTTATTAACTCCACTCTAGGAGAACTCTGACCTAAAAAAAATACTCGGACTTACTTTGCAACTCCAAAGTGACAATGACTCTACAACTATAACAAACACAAGACGTTAACTCAAGATCTGGTAATTTACCTTAATAAAATTACAAAATGTAAGAAAAATTGAAATCTAAGATTTGGCAGTACGGCTAGACGCCTTACCCTGTCCCGGAGGACCAAAAATCTTACTATTACTACTACTCTATATAGTTATTTTAATTTAATATTAATGTGGCCTGGAGGAATCACCCCAGAGCACGTATTTTTCAGCTACCCTACCAGATCATGTTCTATTTAAGACAGTCTTCCACCTATTCCTCGCCCCGTAGATTTCAAATTTGTGTTATGTGTTTTTGCAAATCCCCTCCTAGAATTAATAACTGATTTTATTAGTAGGTAGGTAGGTACAAACTTAAATTAGAAAACTTATTTATTTAAATATCTGTAACAGTGATGGTACATCGTGTTGTTCTGTATTATTAAAGAAGCCGGAATAAACTAAAGAGCAGTGTTAATTAATTAAATATCTCAAATATGAAAGCGTAACTCCAATGACTGACTTGACATTGACAAAATTCTTCAACAGAAACAAGAAGAAGTATTTAATTTTTCTCGAAAAATATGAATTTTTCAAAATGGAAAATGTTTCCATGACACTAGTGAGACCTGAAATAAAGAAATTATATTGTACATTGTTAATCAAAATAAGGAATTGTTTCCTGAAGTACACCTCTTCTGCAATCGTGGCCAAGTCCGTGACGAAGTTCGTGCAAGACCACAGACGTGTTTCGTACCAGTATTCAGCTCATTCCCGCCGTCACCGTGCAATCCGTTGTGGTATTTACCCTGATAGCGATCGGGTAATGGGTTCCGTAGTCGGCACGCGACAGTAATCGCCGTTATGCCAATCACTTAGGCGATTGACTTGTAATGCTATTGTAGATTTGTACGATACTGATAAATGCCATGGTTTGTACACGGATGTTATATTATATGAAATCAAATACTGTCGTAACTCAAAATGGTGGAATTGTCAAATGGCAAAAAGTCGTAAAAAAGAACAATATCTAAGATCTGCAACAATCACATACAAAAATTCGTAGTAGCGTCTACTTGTTAGGAGAGCGTCAGTCTGATATACTGAAGACGCTGGTTCGAATCCAACCGGATCGAATGAATTTTTCTCTGTGTTCGATTTTTGTATTATTGATTATAACAAACTAGTTGAGTCATTTCACACAAAAAATTGTATAAACTTCATATTGTGATTTGAAAGTTAAAAAATGGAACCAAAAAATTTATGCTCTCGTTTATAAGCGAATAACTAAATATTACTTATGCATAAATAAAACATAATCCTATTATTCTCAATAACATCCATTCAGTATTTTTTTTAACGTTGAAATCGTACATGATGTAACTTTACAGTGGGTAAAGGACACAGCGGCTCACGTGACAACGCAGATGAACTGGCCAGAAAGGGGAGGCGGACGCTGTATGATTCTGAGACTCCAAAGCGTTCCACTATGTAACAGCCACCAGACATGCCAGAAATAAGTATAAATACATTTTTTAACCAAAATATCACCGTCATCTACCACTTAACGACTCAATTATTTCTACCTTACATCTGCACTCCCTTTCACCTGCGTCATGGTACACTCCCCTACCTATAGTCAAAAGTTTGAAACTATTTTCTTCTGATCCATTCCAGACACAACGTACTTAAAACTGTATTATAAACTCCTCCGTGGTCGAACGGTTGCCATGCTGGACTCCACACGCAGCAGGACGTAGAGGTCCTGGGTTCGATCCCCGGGCCGGGAGAAATATTTCTATGGCCTACATTTATTTCCCTCCTGGGTTTGTTTGGATGTAGTTTGTGATTGTTTATGTTTGTGTCCATTGCACCCGCAATACAGGGTTTCCCTAGTGCGGAGCTATGAGTGTGTGTGTCAATAAATATCTAAAAAAAATGGTATAAATTTTGCACTAAACAGCGACTGAAATATTCTGAAGTTTTCAAAGCTCCGAAAGAAAACACAAACTTTATTGCATAATTGTTTTATTTGTTTGGCTTACTGCGGCGTAATGCATAATGATATAAGTACAATGCAGCTACTCTCAAGAAACAACATTAAACTTCAAGCGTACTAGCATAATACAGAATTACATTTAAAACAAGTCCGGTAAGTGAGTATTTTACCCTTCGTGTACATCATTTCACATTACATCCATGTCATTTCAACTTTAAAGATAATGGTTTTAAAGTTCTTAGGTTTTTCTGACTGCTTATTGGAAATGAAACTGTTGTTTCGCATCTAAATTACGAATATTTGTTATTAGGTGTGACTACCTATTAAATCCGTGACCGTGGTACCTGTAAAGAACCGCTGGTTTATTTGAAAATACAAATTAGGGCGCCCCTTAAAACTAAACGCTTCTAGAAGCACCTGTGAACTTTCAGTAATTTTTAGTTCAGTAAGGCCACAAATTCACAACCCTGGTGCGTTCAAGATTTGTGCGTACATTGTGTCTTGTGTTGGATGATGTGTTGTATTGGACCTTGAACGCCCCGCCGAACGCACCACCACCATTGCGAATTTGTGGCCTTATTGTGACTTGTAAAGTGACGTGTGCATGTGCGCTGCAACTGAGCGTCTAAATCTAGAGTCGGCGGACTAAAGCGCACAAGTGAAAAAGTGTTTAAATTCTTAATATATAATTTTTGTATTTTTTATAATGTTGGCAGATGTGAAGAGAATAATAAATTTGAAAAAGATGCCACTAGAATTTAGTTACAAATGAATAAACTCCTGAGCTTTAGTGGGTAGATGTATTAATTTGAATAATGTTGGATTTTTCTCAAATTTTTCTGAAACTGCCTCTGTGGCCGAACGGTTACCACGCTGGACTGCCACGCAGAGGTCCCAGGTTCGATTCCCGAGCCGGGAGAAATATTTGTATGGCCTACATTTATTTCTCTCGTGAGTTTGGGTATAATTTGTAGTTGTCTATGTATGTGTCCATGGCACCCGCGACACAGGGCTACCCTAGTGCGGGGCTATGTTGAGTGTGTGCGTTATTATTATTTTAACTTATGTGCTTTAATCTAGTTTTAAAGTATTGCCACCTTATTATTTCTGCCGCCAAGCAGTAATGTCAGCATTACTGTGTTCCGGTTTTGAATGGTAATGGGTGCTGATGAAATTATAGGCACATGAGACTTGGGCAGTGGGAGTGCCCCTCAGATCTTTGCGATTTAAAGCTCTGAGTGGAACTGCAACTGTTATGGACATGCGTGTAACTTACCATCAGTAGTGCGATTCACGTAAGTTCAAGCTATCAAAATATCGTTGAAGTTACATAGTCGTTCGATCGAAGTCCTACCCAAAATGGGTATTTACGTAACACTTGAAGGAACGTTGATATGAGTAGAATCGAAACATAACGACTAATGAACGACATCTTCGATTGTGAAATTTGAACTTTAGTCGTCGAAAGTCTATTGAAAGAACTGTCAATATTTTAGCAGAATACGTAACGTTTAGAGTCGATTTAAGTTCTATTCATATACCAGAATACGCTTTAACGACATTTGGATCGAACGACTTTAATATAATAATTAGATATTATAAAAAAAAATTCGACGTCTATAGAAATATTGTATGCGCATGTGATGCCACAGCAGCGGTTCTATAAGCGTCTTATATATAGGCGTCCTAAACGCGATTAATAGTTCATTATTCACTCTAACCTATACAAATCGAAGGATCTCTTCAATATGTTATTCTTACTATGGCAATAAAAAACTTTAAGTATGGTGAGATGTGTCAACTGCCTTAATTACTTGCAGTGATCTTTAAAACGGTCGTAGTTCAAAAATGTACACAATGAAAACTACTAATTCGGGTAACCCACTCACTTTTACCGAATTTGCGTTTAAGCGATATGACAACACAGCTTTTGCATTCGATGGAAAACAGCACGTTCGAAACGTAAAATTAGGCCCCTGTTGAAATATATATGTAATTTCTCACAAAGTGTGAACCTACATGGGCTATTTATACAGGACCGTACTTGGTACGGTACTGGAAGTAAATTAATCAATATTATGTTTATTTATTTTATTTTACTCGGCGTTCGGGACAGGAACCCATAAAAAAGATTTTATAAAATAAGACAAAACAGAATAACAATAAGTAATGTAAATACAAATAATTTTTTGCACTTTCAAAAAATTATGAATTACAAGATTTTGCGCATTTTCAATTGGTGAAATAAAGATAATAGAATATTATTTGTTAACTATATAACATAAATGCGGGCAAATTCAAAGATCTTACAATAAGAAGCATAATCAGTTCTTTGAATATCTAATATTTACATTATTAACTAGGTCTTAACTAGAATAAATACAAGAGAAATATTAATTAAAACATTCTTATATACAATTGTATATACAACATGGAATGACAAATTTTTGTACGACATTCGAGGTTTTTTAAATTTAATTTAACTCTACGAATTCTATCGAAAACGCGTTATATACGTTAACGACAAAGCGATTCGAAAGAATTCATTGTACAGCCCTTACTAATAGAAGAATTTTCTCTAGCATTTCTTACCTGCCAGTATCTAATCAAAATTTCAATAAATCAATTTAAGGACAAATTACCGCTAAAATACAATTCCATACACTTACGCATTTGAACGATTTGGCATTCGACACTCAATTGATATGACTAGTCTTTCAAAAACTGAACACAAACTATATCGCGTTCGAAGTTCTTTCATTTCAAGTTTAAAATCCGTCTGCTGCGTTGTCAGTCCTACGGACGGATTCGAGCGAACACTACACTAGGCTTGATAGAGGGGCTCGTGACGTCACTGGAGAAGGTGGAAGAGGCTGAAGTTGCTGCGGCGCTTGTGGTGGGAAATATACTCCAGGATCATTCGAAAACTGCGGATAATTCGGCAAAGGAGTGTGCGGGATTGATGTTGGTCGTGATTCATGATACAAAATCGGTACGCGGACCAACCTTTGTGCTGCGTGGGCCATATTTGCCGCTTCCAACTCTGCAGCCAGCTGTCTCTTCCACTTGTTACGTCGATTCTGAAACCAGATCTTCACCTGTGTCTCTGTCAGGTGAAGACTAGCAGCAAGACCAGCGCGTTCAGAGCTGCTTAAGTACCGTTTCATATCAAATGTAGACTCTAGTTGGAATACTTGAGAGCGGGAGAAAACAGTTCGTGTTTTCTTCTTTCGTTTACCGAGGTTTGCGTTAGGATCTCTCTTTTCATCTTTATCGAAGTCATCGCTCTCGTCGACATCTGGGTCTGAATCATTAGCGTCTTGTTGCTGAGGGTAAAGCGCGGGATGAAGGCGTGGGGATCGAGGAGAGGGCGATGATCTCGATGGAGAGGGGGGTGTAGGGGCACGCGGGGGGCTTCGTGGTCGCGGTGAACCCCCGGCGGAACCTTCTTCGTTGGTTGTTGAGTCTTCTGTAAGAAATTTTGAACATTAGTTTTGGTCTTATAACAGAGATTTAGAATCGAACAGTTTGTCAATTTTATTGAGATCATCAGCTGTCTACCATTAGTAATTATGGAAAATGTTTCTTTTCTGAAAAACATAAACCGATCAATACACGTCATGTAGGTTTAGGTGATTGTTCTGTATGTAGGCTTACGTAATTATTGTGCCTCATTGTATCGCTTAAACCCTTATAAAAGTCAATAGAGCTTCAATCGACAAATCACGTAGTCGTTATACGGCTTCGTCATACAACAAATCGAAATCTTTCGACCACGATGCGATCCAATTAAGGCCAGCCCGATTTCGACTCCAAATCCACATAATTCCGATTGGAGGATTCCACGCCTGCGATTAGGCAATTTGACGGATTTGTGCTTTTAAGTCGAGTAAAGTACTGGGTATTAAATAAACATTACGGAAGATATTGTTTGTGGCATACATATGATAATGACAGATGTGTGCCATGGGTAACTGAGTGGAATATTACAATCCAATCCCAATCCGATTTGACGCTGGCAAGTAGTTCAACGAACTGGATTTGGTACTTCAATTCTACTTGAATATGTTCAAAACATCGAGTATATAACCAGAATAGAGACGAAATGTCATTTAATTTGTTTGAAAACTATTCTGCCATATCATTACTGTGACAACTGTGCTCCGATTGGCTAGCCCGAGTTCGAAACAATTGACGGGTGTCGTCAATGGGTGTTGTCAACTGTTTCACTTCAAATCGACCAGTTAACTTGAGCTTTGCTATAATGGACGAAAATTGCAAAATTACATATTTAATATCTAATTACCGATGAAATGTGATTCCGTTTGTTTTGTAATTAGAAGTTTTGCAGTTTTTTCCACACCACCGAATAGAACAGCATGACATTGTTAGAGATATTATCTTTATTACAATAAATACAGAACATTTTTTGGAATATACGGAGATGTACACACAGGTCAGTAGTTGGTCTGTCTATATTTCAGTGCAAACGGGAGTGGATATTTACAAGAGCAGTATCGCTAATGTGTTACCAGAAATATATGGCCCTTATTTCGTCTCTATTTCTAGTTATATACTCGATGGTTCAAAAAAACACCATCGAAGCATCGAACTTTCGATTTCAAATGCACAAATATTGACAAAACTACGACGTACCAACATATATACAGTAGCAAACATAACCAAATCCAGCTCTGTCCCAAAGAAAACACTATCGAACATTTCGCCGAATTTAAATTCAAAATTGAATCGGCACTGGCGGCGTGAACAGAACACAACACAATCCATCTTTGAAAATGAAATTTCGAAATTCGAAAATGAAAAGGCATTGGCGCGAAGTTGATGTCATCAACGGCGTTCGATGAATCACTACAAACGAACGGGAGTATTTCATTGATATGGCCAGTTTTAGTTGAACTTTGATACATAATTAATGTACAATAAATTGCATTTCATTTTAATTAAGAAATTTCATTTTATATTATTGGTCGAGAATTTAAATGTTAACCCAAGATGTTTGAAATGCGTTATTTTAAATTTTGACATCAACATTTGAATAAAAATTTTCTATAATTCCCTGCTCGTGTTGCCAGTGTCTACATGTTATGATTGTCAATCGACTACAAAATTATATTATTTTCATATGTGACTGTTTTACGTTTAAATTTAATTAAATACGGTACAATGACAAAGTCTTGCAAAAAATTGCATTTTCCATTAAACTTGCTTCTTTGAATCCAAGGTACTATAGAGGTCATCGTATAATGGTTAGCGCATGCAGTGATTGATTTTCGAAGCCTCACGTAAGCCTTTGTTACCGTCGCCTGCTGTTTACATAATCGTTTACCAGTTAAGCAGTTTACATTATGCACTCATACATTATTTAATACTCATCTGAGTATATAAATTTACTACCCACGCTTTATGTTTTACATTATCGAAGTGGTTTGCCGTGTAGTTCCCAAAAGAGGATTACCTCGTAATAACACCCCGTAGTAGTTTAAAAATATTTGTATAAACCCATAATAAAACGACTTAGTCATTTGTTTTACTAGTTTCTTCGTTATTTGTAAAAGACCATGTAGATGGTAGACTTTCGCTATATTTGCCTATCCTACTTATGTATGAAGAGTATAAATATGGTCTCTAATCTTTGCGTTCGACATTGAAAAGGAAAGTAGTAGACTTTTTTAATCCAAAGCATTATAGTTATATGGAAGTAAAAGATTTTTCATTAGATTGTCAGTTCTCTACTGCAGTTAAAACCTTAACAGTTTAGTATAAGGTTCGTAATATATTCAATTTGAGTTACACACTGTACTTGAATTATCGCATGAGCGAAAAGAAATTATGTCAAAATAGGTTATCAGTAAAATCCTCAACTTTTGTAACTGAAATTTAAAAAAAAACAGTATCGTACCACCTTAGAATAATAACGCATAGAAACCTAGCCCGCACACGCTAAGTGAGGCAAGTTAGAGGGTTCCAAACGCGTCTCAGGAGCGCGCGGGCTGTTAGTGCTCAAGGTCATATTGCACCGCGAACAGCTCCAAAATTTTTTGCTAAAAATGACGAAATGTGCGGTAAATGGGTGTAAAAATACAACAGACAAACAAAATAGACACTAACATCGCATTCCACAAGTAAGTAATGCGTTTCAACTCATATTTTTATGTAAATATTCACTAAAACAGAAAAATAATTTCGCGGCAACAAGATACGAAAGTGTTGCAAAGTAACGAATTTTTTTTCTCCCCATTTTGCTATTCTGTATCAAAATAATTATATTACGTAAATTTTAGTGGTGCCTGTAATTTAGATTTATTTGCGCATCTTGAACTAATATTTACTTTAATACATTACATTAAATGTTTTCGTTAACTCCTGTAAGTGATTGGGACACTTAATTATTTTATAATACTTTTAACGGCTCTGCGTTCATGCTTTATTGAATAATTATTTATTTTAATTTTATTTGAATTGGAGCACATATTGCAACAAATTTACAGTACTTATATATTTGTTTCTACTATAGTGTTGGCACCACCAGTACAACTTTGATAGCTTATTATATGTCTTTCTTTTCGTAACTCAAGCGAAATATTTTATATTAAAATATTTTATTTTCTTAAAAGGGGAGCATTCTTAAGCGATTTTTTAATCTATTTTAACAGTTATTTTCTTTAATGTTTGCTTATGGCATTTTCGGTTTTAGGTTTCGAATATGGCACTTATTTCTAAATCCAAGATGCGGGCGCGATTTTTCGAATAATGGCAAGTTGGGTATCGTTTTCGAGATGTTTGGGAATGTTCAATACAAATATGGCACTCATTTCTAAATCCAAGATGGCAAACACGACAGTTCAAACAAAAGCAATATTCGTAATGAGCACCCCTAAATACCTCGAAAACGATACCCAACTTGCCATTATTTGAAAAATCGTGCCCGCCATCTTGGATTTACAAATAGTGCCATATTCACATTGAGCATCCCCAAATACCTCGAAAATGATACCCACATAGCATTTTTTTGAAAAAATCGTGCCCGCCATCTTGGATTTAGAAATGAGTGCCACATTCGTAATGAGCACCCCCAAGTACCTCGAAAATGATACCCATATTGCATTTATTTGAAAACTCGTGTCCGCCATCTTGGATTTAGAAATGAGTGCCATATTCGTAATGAGCATCCCCAAATACCTCGAAAATGATACCCATATTGCATTTTTTTGAAAAAATCGTGCCCGCCATCTTGGATTTAGAAATGAGTGCCATATTCGTAATGACCACCCCCAAGTACCTCGAAAATGATACCCATATTGCATTTTTTTGAAAAATCGTGCCCGCCATCTTGGATGTAGAAATGAGTGCCATATTCGTCATGAGCATCCCCAAGTACCTCGAAAATGATACCCATATTGCATTTATTTCAAAACTCGTGTCCGCCATCTTGGATTTAGAAATGAGTGCCATATTCGTAATGAGCATCCCCAAATACCTCGAAAAGGATACCCATATAGCATATTTTGAAAAATCGTGTCCGCCATCTTGGATTTACAAATAAGTGCTATACGTTTTTCATCGACAAAACCGAGCACATCTGTAGGCACCTGATCGACAATGTCGGGCAAATCTGTAGGCACCTTTAACTTAATGATGAGTTAAGCAAGATACAATTTCCCCACTTTTGAGGGAAATGTTATTCCATGGCATCATTATTTGTATATTTGTGTGCGTGCCGACGAGCGTAGTTACAAGTTGCTTACGCCTACATGAATTTGGTTTTTGCCTCACTTGTGACAGTTCGTTTGATATGAAACTATCATTCTATGCGTTATTATTCTAAGCGTACCACCATGTCAAAAAAAAGTGCAAGTTACTATCAAAACTACAGAAGTATCTCTTTCTAGAAATAAAAAAGAAATAAATGTACCTCGTAGTACGTAGCAATATTTGCAAAGAAATTAGAAAACGAAATATTTGCAAGCTAAACAAAGGAAATAACAATCCGCTACGACAATCTGAAACAACCGCATTCCAAAATTAAAACGAACACGCAACAACGACACTTTTGGCGCGAACGCGTTCGTCTAAACAAACCTATTGGTGTGAGCGAGATGACTACAAGTTTCAAGTTTCGCCTCTGGTTTGGTTTTGGTTGAGTATTGCTATATGTAGGGGAAACATACGAATGTGGTAGAAACGGAGCGTATTGTTCGCTCGGTTTGGGCCGCGTGAAATGGCCGTGCTTTGTCTAGGGGTTTCTGCAAATTAAAGCGGGGTTGCCAGCGCAATGATTGCTTGTTTGAAAATGTACGTTTCGCAGCGACATGGATAATTTTGCTTGAGAGATTTGATGAGTTGTTTTTTACTTTATATGGAATGAGGTACAGATACACTCGGTATAACGTAGACGTAATGACGTAGATAATAAGTATATAGCCACGAATTCTTGTCAAGTTAATTACGACGACTCTAAATACCAAATTGAGGACATGCTAAAAAAAGCAAAATCTAGAGTACCATCAGCAAAGTTGAAGCCTTCAAAGTCCCCAAACAGTTATGTTTGCAAGCGGAAATTGTTCTAGGTCTGTCCCTTACTTTGTGTAACACATTTGTTTATAATAAAAATATAATCTAACCCTAATAAGCAAGCTGCTGATTGCGACTGATCGCCATTTCCGACACGTAAAAAGAACCCGAGATAATTGTCAACTTTGCTTATAATACCATTAACCAACGAACGTGTATAAAGGCATTGATGCGTGTGTATTAGGACCATAGCTAGTGGAAGGCCTACATCGACGGGAAAAGTGCGTGAAGGTGTATATAAATACTTTTAAGGTTGCAAGTTATACTTTTATAGCAAAATCTGGTCTTCTAAGTATAAGGAAAACTTTTTATTTTCATTTAATAAATAAAAAATATACGTATGCATATCCAATAATTTAAATGATTGAGTAGATCATTTTAGAGTAGCCCGTCCCTAAAACATTAAAAGAATCAATTTTTATTCCTCCCTTTTAAAAATAATCCGCAGTAACAAGAGTCGTCAATCTGGCGTTTTGGAACGAAACTCGAGACGCACTCGAATCGATTACGCGCTGACGCGTCGAGTCGATATCAACGAGGCCTTAGTAGTGCCCCTTAGAGTTTAAACAGTTGAGATTTAGTTTACAATGCTATTAAATTATTCCTTTGCTTTGCTTTGTTTATTCACAGTTTGACGAGGCGGTGACTCATCGATTAATCACTTACGGTATTACATAGTAGATTTGATAAGAGGTGCAATCCCCCATCTCACCTGATGAATAGTGATGGTTGGGTCAATGATGGAGCATGTACACCTAAATAAAGACTATTCACTCTCGTTTGAAAAGACCAAAGTCATAGCGTTCAGAAGATGACTGTGGGTAGAAAATTCCACTTCATAATCGTTTGCCATATAAATGTGGAAGCGTAAGAACTGTTACACACGGCGATACAAACGCGATGCAGTAGCGATGCAGTCGCTAATCGTCTACCTTTACACATGCGCGCAATTTTATGCAGCGATGCAAACGCGATGCAAGCGCGCGACTGCATCGATACAAACGCGCGATTGCATCGCTAAACTTGAGATACAAAGGTGGTTGCATCGATGCAATTGCGAGTTTGTATCGACGTAGTCGCGCCTTTGCTTCAATGCAATCGCCTATAAAACGCAAGTGTAGCGATGCAATCGCGCGTTTCACGGACTCGCGCTATAACCACTCTGACACTTCGTGGGAATCCTTGGAATATCCACAACATAGGGGCGGAACCCCAGCCTACGTCTAGTCTCCCGATGGTGGAAAGGGGAAGGCAGAATTAGACCATGCAATTCCGTCGCACGCTTTCCTTGAGATATACTGTAGAATACCGATAAACAAGCAATTTTACGGCGGTATTCAAGGTTCAGCAACTTTGCCTCTACTAAAACCGGGTCACTTATAAGCCTCTCGGCATGCTTTTCAACTGCACCCAAAGTAGATAGTATGGTATTTAGCAGATAATTGGAAAAACAGATTCTTTCATTGCAACCTGGGTGGTATGAGTAGTTGTGTATTTATTTACCTCTAGGAGGGGTGGTCCTCTCCTGGGGTCTCTGCCAGTACCACGGTGCCGGCACCAGCCCTCCGTACCTCCCGGCCAAAGCGCTCCATTGCGAAATCAGACCAAGCCTGTAACAAAGCGTTTACGTTTTAACAATGAGGCCAATAAAAATTTGTCGCGTTTTCTTTGATAATAATATCGTTATATTGCTTTTTTCTACTCCTGTACATTAATCTGTCAATAATTATAGTTTCGTATATAAAGGACCATATCATAAAGGTGCTCTTTTTAGTTTTGAATCAAAATTCTATTGTCTATGGTACTCGCCACTTAGCTGAAAAATTTCATAAAAGTTCTGTGCACAGAATGAGTTTCAAAAAAAGAACGCCGTATTTCTGCTAATTAAAATATCAATTAAGAGTCTATTCAAACGTTAGACTGCCTCTTGATTGGTTAAATTGACCTAAAATCTTGCAATCGATCATAAACTTAAAAAAATTGGTTGAAATATATGGGGTACTTGGCCAATTCTATTATATCTCTTTGGTTTTTAGTTAAGTAGCGTTTGTTTGGCTTTCGTCTAAATAATATAATAAGAGGCTGTAAGGTGGAACGTACCTTTGCCTACCCTTAAACTGGTTAATTTTTTTAATTGCGTTTGTTGTAATGGTTTGATATCAAAATATATCTATTATCTTAGAATAATAACGCATAGAAACCTAGCCCGCACACGCTAAGTGAGGCAAATTGAAGCGCGCCCAATGGGCCTACACGAGCGGGCGGGCCTTCAGTGCTCAAAGTCAACTTGCACCGCGAATAGATCAAGAATTTTAGCTAAAAATGACGAAATGTGCGGTAAATGAGTATAAAATACGTCAGACAAACATAAAATAGATACTAACATCACATTCTACAAGGAAGTAACGCGTTTCAACTTGTATTTTTATATAAATATTCACTAAAACCGAAAATTAACCTACTACTAAAACTAGCCTACATGAATTTGATTTTTGCCTCTCTTGTGACAGTTCATTTGATATGAAACTATCATTATAAGCGTTACTAGCCCGTTACACCAAGTACCAAGTACCAAGTATCATTATATGCGTTATTATTCTAAGTCTATTACATTTATATAAATTAAATATTGGTTATGTTTCATAATTATATTTCCTCGTAGAAAAAATATTGTATGCAATCATTCACATAGTTAGGTCTTAAAATCTCGTACCTATTACTTAGGCCACTCGGCTTGAAAAATACTATTATGTAAAACTTTTTTTGTTAACCTCGTAATTCCCCGAGTAGAATAAAATATATATTATATGTGAAGTTCAATTCAAAGGAAAAAAAGAATTCAAGCCAAGACAATTTAGTTTCTATGATCACATAATCGCCCAGTGTAGTTTCTAAAGAAATGATCAAATATCGCATTCACATTCATCGTTACGTACTCTATATAAAGGCCAAAGAGTATCTAGCAAAATACTTTTTTTTTTATAATACCTAGTGACGGGACGAACAAGTGTTGCCTGATGGTAAGCGAAACGCCTGTCAATAACAATAGCAGCGCCACTCAGAGCTTTAAAATGCAAAAATCAGAGCGGCGCAGTGACAGTGCGCCCGTCACCCCGAGACATAAATTTACTTCAAAACCAGAACGCAGTAATGCTCACATCACTGCTTGGCGGCAGAAATCTATAGTAATCTATAGTAACGCACACACTCAACATAGCCCCGCACTAGGGAAACTCTGAGTCGCGCGTGCCATGGACACACACATAGATAACCAGATATTACACCCAAATTCACGAGAGAAATAAATGTAGGATATACAAATATTTCTCCCGGCCCGGGAATCGAACCGTGGCACTTCGGCACTGTCACAGTTCGGCCACGGTAGCAGTTTAGTTTTTTTTAGGAAATAGGTACGGTAAGTAAATTTAAACTTTGTAACTATAATAAACATTGGGAAATTTGCATTAATGTTAGATATAACTAGTTAGACTTTATATAGACTAGTATATAAAGTATGACTTTACTATCTTAG